CCACAACATATCTAAATAGTATCCTTCATCACATCTCGAGTGCGCTCTTTACCGCATGTAATTTACGCCATCTATAGATGTCTCATTTTTTTTTTCAAACTGCGTTGATAAAGTTATCGTTAGTGAGTTATTAAATGTTAATTGAAAATAGTGTACTCATGGTGTTTGCTGAGACCTTCAACAGAATTCTGATTAAGTAATAAACGATTTACTAAACCATATTTTTTTTGCAAGTCATCGTTTATTTTTTAGCTTGGAATTGTTGAAAATTTGAGACAGGAGAAATTCTTGACAGTAGCAATTCAATCACTATTACTCTTGTGTATAAGACACTGCTTTCTACTATACTCTGATCATTATTTGTTCATTTCTTTTTTATATTTCACTGCATCACTACACGTCTATCGTCCATGGAATCGTTAAATAGTTCATGCTTAAATCCGCACGCATATTCGATACCAATTCCCAGCTCGAGCATCATATTTGCAACTGTATCCAGGGCAACAAGAATTCGGTCCGTATGATGAACAATTTTTCGGTTTCTATGGGGGGAAATAGAACGTTTGACTATAATTAGTATAATTATAGGCCTAATATACTATTAATGTTTTATTAAATAATATAAGAAAATAGAATATAATAACAAAGAAGATAATAATAAACATGTTGGTCTACAGCACATCATATTCCGGCATCTTCAGGTGTGACGGAAGCGGTCCGAAGTTCAGGCGCCTACCTGCTATTGTGCTGAGATAAATAATTTGGTTAAATAGAGTAATATTTTATAAACATAATGTTCTCTTTTGCTAAGTGTTCGAAATTTTGCACAGAAGCCGGAGCCGGATTTTGGCCTCCGGCTATGATTTAGGCCTTCCTCAACCTATCGAAAGTGAATTCTTCCCAATTATCTGATAACCGTAGCCTGTTTTTTTTTTGGATATAGGCTTACTTTCAAATAGCAGATGTATTTCTTGTTATAGTGAGTTATTGTATGTTAAAGAAAATGGTGTTCGTCGAAACCTCCAATATAGTTCATGACAGATTAACTAATAACAGATTTATTAAAACCATACTGTTTTGCAAGTCATCGTTTATTTTTTTGGAATTATTGAAAATTTAATACAGCAGGAATTATTGACGGTACAATTCAACGAATGTTACAGTTGTGTAGGCCTATAAGAAACTGATTTCTGCTCTGATCATTACCTGTTCATTTCTTTGTTATGTTTCACTGAATCACACGTCTATCCTTTCTGGAATCGTTGAATAGGCTATTTCATGCTAATTTGGCTCGCATTGCCCACGACGAACCCAACCAAAAGTAAACGCATTTGTATCCTGAGCAACAAGGTAGAGATTTAAGCAAGGAATTATAAACAGTTTGTCCAAAGGTCTTTATAATACAGGTCGCTTTCTTTGGGGGAAATAGATTGTTTCACTTTAATGATTATTATAATTATAATTATAATACTATTAATGTTTTATTAAACATTACAATTAAAATGGGAAATAATAAAAAAAGAAAATGTCCGAAGCGGTACGAAGTGTCAGGCGGCGGCTAGCTTACCAAGGGCTATTGTGCTGAGAAATATTTTGGTTATCTAGAATAATATTTTATGAAAAAAATATGTTTTTATAAATCTTCGGAATTTTGTAAAGAAAAGTGTTTTTCCGAAGCCGGATTTTGGGTCCTCGGCCGTGATTTCGGTGTTTCTCAGCCTATCGAGGGAGAATTTAGCCTTCCGGGAGAACGGATTTTTTTTCTCCACGGTATCGGTAAACTGCCCCTTGTTTGGGTAATAATTATTTTGATATGCTGACATACATTGGATCGAGAATGTTTATGATTCTAAGTATATTATACCAATTCAATATAAACATTTTCAAATGAATTATCTTCATTCGATATTTTTGTATTTTTTCCAAGATGATAAATCAAACACTGTGGTGTTTGAATAAAAATAATTCGTTGATGAAACACATTTGATTTAATTTGTACATGATCGTTTTAATAATAATAATAATAATAATATAATAATAATTAATTATAAAAAAAATCCTAATGACTTGTAATAAACAGCGAAATATTCGATTATTACTGCTTCACTTATCAGTCTTTCAAAAAGATAGAAGTGTATGATACTGGTATCAGGGCATCAAAAGCGGCCCCGAGGGTCAGGTGCCTACCTGACCACTAGGGCTTGTACTAAGATATTTTTTTTTTGTTATAAATATCTTGTAACTGATATGTTGTTTAGTGTTGTTAAATCTTGGTTTAGTCAAATCTCCAGCAGTCCAACCTCGTTTAGAATGTTTGGACGAAGTGTCTGCCAAAGCTATGGTCAGACAAAGAACCATGGACAACCATACCAAAATAGACATAGATCTAGGCATGACTTTGAAAAAAATTATATATATATATAATATATATATATATATAAATATATATATATATATAAAGTATATATATATTTTATATATAATATATATATTATATATATATACTATATATATACTATATATATATATGTTATATATATATATGTTGATGATGACTTTATAAACAGTTCGTGGTTTTAAAGTAGTTGTCTTATCACGTTTTTAGTGGTCTATAATCATTAATAGGTAACTTTAAATATCTTCTGATAAGTCTATGTTTATGTCTAAGCATAGTTTATATATCTATTTACTAATAACAATGAGATAAAAAGGGCGATAGGAATGGAATGGAAGTATGGGCAATAAAAATATGAAGATTAGAAGACATAATACAGAGCATCAACTAGCTTGAGTGGTCAGATGTCCGTCAGAAGAAGAGAAGGGTAGAAAAGAGGAAGTAACTTGGAATAAAGAAATTAAATGTTATTATTAGTATATCTGAAAACAAACTTAATTTGATTTGTCGAATCTAACAAACACGAGTATTGGAATTAAGATACCACGTAGGCCTATATTATAAATCTAAAAAAATATAATAATAAATTAGGCGTTCTTATTCAGTGTATATGCTATTAACTTACAATAAGTCACATGTAGAATCATTTCACACACATTCACAAATTACTACGAAAATATTTATTTTTCTCAACAGCCAATTTAATTTGCTGTTAGTCCTACTTTGTGCTGTGTATATATATATATATGTGTATATATAGGCCAATATACATATAGTAAATAACGAGTCAAACGGTATCAGATATATGCCACAAAATGTATTTGAAAACTAGCAAGTAATTTCGAATATAATTCTTTATCAAGCTATTATTATAGAATTAGCTGTTTGGCGTTAATATATCAAATAAAATTCGGAAACAAAGTAGGCCTATAAATTTGCCAAATTTATACCTTGTTCCCGAGTTGTGAGTATATTATACCGTACATTATTATTATGTATTAATATTGTGTGTATAGTACATTACCGTATGTACGTATAAGCCTATATTTTACTTCTCCGTTGCAGAGGCTTTTTAAATAAATTTGAAAATTTGAACATTATTAATTTATTATATATGTAAGATGTACTGTAAGTATATATCATATATGTAAGATAGATGATATACATAGCGTGTTGTGTGAGAGGCAATTTGAATGGTTATCTCGGAATTGTGAAATCGGCGAGAGTAAAAAAAGTAGCCCGATTTACAGTATAATGCATGTATACAGTCAATAACCAATTGGGCAACTTATTAGAATTAATTTTTTCAAACTCCTTTATACAGACGGACACATTATTAGTTATTTTTATCTGCATGGAGCAGAGATCAATATTTTTTCCGCATTTAAAACATTAAAGGCACACCTAGTTTTAGAAGACATCTTTAAATATAATGTAAAGAGACAAGCTCTACGCCGCCTTCTTGTGGTAAGGCTGAATATTCTAAAATATAAGACGCTGATACTGACAGGAGTAGGGCCAGGATTTGCCCGACGGGGGCTTCCCGACTAGATCGTAAAGGCGCACTCTATAACAACATGGAATATATACGCCCTCTATAGGCCTAATGACGATCTGTTCAGATTGCCACCGACAATCAACAAACGGCGCCGTGTCGTCCAGCGCCACGCTTCCCAAACTGTAAGTCACGACCAACAAGTGGGTCGCCAAACTTTTGCGTTGGGTCACGAGCATGTTTGCTAAAAACAGGTTGTAAAGGCTGTAACTGATCTGACTACCTGAAAACGGTATTTTAGGTGAATCTTCATTAGAACAATATAAATGAAATATTGTTCCAATGAATCTTCATTAGAACAACATTTCATTTATATATCCACAATGAATATCTTATATCTTACCACAACATAATTTTGCAAATCTAAACATTGACAAGAATTTAAAACAGAAACGCTGTCATGTCGGGAAGACGAATTTTACTTGTATTTTATGTACCAGTGACAATAAAAGAATCTTGTATCTTGTATCTTACTTTAAGAATAGCATTTTCTTAATACATTGCAAATGGGTATAACCTTTGAAAAAAATGAATGTATACTATCAACTTATGAGATGGTTCGCGGCTAGTGTGGGAAACCAAGCATCGGTCCCAGAGATAAACAGTTTGGGATGCCGGGGGTCTAGCGCTCACAGAAAGAGGAGTTGGATTCGTGGTACGACGGTCGTACGACGCAGTTAGTGCCCGGCTTATACGTGGGCGTGGTCGGGCGTCGCTCAAAACCTCTCGAAAGTGATCAGGTTTTAGAGGCTAATATGCATGCTCTTTTTGTATGAGGTTTATCATATGCATTTCCACAGCATATCTAAATAGTATCTTCCATCACATCTCGAGTGCGCTCTTTACCGCATGGAGTTTACGCCCTCTACAGATGTCTCATATACTTTTTGTTTTTGTTTTACCGTTTTCAAACTGAGTTGTTTTATTTGATAGTTAATAGTGAGTTATTAAGTGTCAATTGAAAATAGTGTACTCATGGTGTTTGCCGAGACCTCCAAATAGAATTCTGATCAGGACAGACTTCTAAGTAATAACAAATTTACTAAGCCATACTGTTTTGCAAGTTTAACGTTTATTTTTGAGTCTGGAATTGTTGAAAATTTGAGACAGGAGAAATCCTTGACAGTAGCAATTCAATCACTATTACTATTGTGTATAAGACACTGCTTTCTACTCTGATCAATATTCGTTCATTTCCTTCTTATACCTCACTGCATCACTACACGTCTATCTTCCCTGGAATCGTTAAATATGTCATACTATTAATAATTCAAAACAACAGTTTCAGAATAGGTAAGTGAGTAGCATATAACATTGATTTGCATTGAAAATTTTAAAATTTATTGGACAACGGAGGGTACTAGGTCCGCTGAAATCTGCAAGTTCCTGTAGACGGCGAAGATGAAGGTACGCATTTGTATCTTGAACAACAAGGTAGGTAACGATCAGTCTCGCCGGATAGTGAACATGCTCGCCATGGGCTTTTAGTACAGATGGCCGTTTTCTATGGAAGAAAATAGAACGTTTGATTATATGCCTAATAGCTATTATAATTATAGGCCTAATACTATTATGTTTTATTTAATACAAGAAAATAGGAAATAATAACAAAAAAATGTAATACGCAGGCATTTGTCTTAATAATAACAAGTTGGTCTATAGCACATCATATATATTCCGGCATTTTCTGGAGTGGCGGAAGCGGTCAGAAGGGTCGGGCGCCTACCTGACCAATGGTTATTGAGCCGAGATAAATATTTGGTCATCTAGAGTAGTATTTTATAAAAATAATTCTTTTTCTAAATCTTCAAAAATTTGTAAACGCAGTGTTTTTCCGAAGCCGGATTGGCCCCCGGTCGTGATTTCGGTCTTCCTCAGCCTATCGAGAGTGAATTTTGCCTTAGGGGCACTCATGAATTCTTTTCACGGGACCAGATTACGACCCCTCCTTTGGTTAATACTACATGGATAGTGCCTAATTGTCTAGCGTATACGCGTTACGTACCTGTGACAATACATTATTGCCAGATAAAAGTTTAATTATAAGCAATCGTTTTAGGTGTGGGAAACGGCGGCGTCAGAACGTTTTTGAAAGTGGGTGGGGGGGGGGACCATTTCATAAGGTCTAGTATGCGAGCGAAGCGAGTATTTAGGCAGAGGGGCCGCCAAGGGCCCCCGGTTGGGGTCAACGGATATTTGACGAAGTTTGGTGAATTGTATTAGTTATTTAAAGCTATCGTAATATGACTTCCAGTGTGCTGGGAACAGTCAGAAAATTGGGGAGGGGGGCAGGGCCCCAGTCGAAAAAGTTGGGTGGCCAATGACCCCCTGCCCCCCCCCCCCGCTTAAGCCGCCAGTGGGTGTGGGATTACAAAGCAGCAGCAGGTATTAGTCATTTTTGTGTCTACTGTCCTCCTCTAGGCAGTTGACACTTTGAGCTCAGTTTGTCAATCCAGAAGCGTTTACATTAGGTATCTGTTTGGGAGAATTTATTTTGCGATGTCAAACGCCATGTATGTAGGGCTAACTGACCTAGATGTTTGATTTCACTAAAATTTACAATTATAGGCCTAGGTAATAGAGCTACAGCACTGATCTTAATGTGTTACTAATAAGTAGTATTACTGTAAATGGAAATTTGTTTGACATTTCACTTTTGGGTCTGTTTTTTTTTTACGTCGATTTGCAGTTTATATTACTTCAGTGACATTATGGGGCAGTTTTGTGTTCCATGCGCTTCATCCAGTGATCGGGGGTAATAAAGTAAAGTGCATAGAGGTTAGTCTACAATATGCGCTATATAAGTCGACATTTATTAATACTAATCATTGACTTTCACCAAACATGATATATATTGTAAAGAAAAACAGACTTTTGTTTAAAGACAATATGAAAATTATTTTGATATGTTGACATTGAACAGAGAATGTTTTTAATTGTAAGCCTATTGTAAGCAACTCAATGCTAATTCAGAGTTTTCAAATTAATTTTCTTCATTTTTTTAAATTTTTGTAGGCCTATTTCTTCCCTCGGTGCTAAGTCAAATACTGTATTTGAATAAAAATATTTCGTTTTAGGAAAAAAAAAATTACCGAATGTTTTTAATAAATAACGAAATTGGATCAACACTGCTTCGCTTCCTCCTTGAATTTAACACTGAGTAAACCAAGGAAAAGTTGAGTGACTATCGGGTAAAAGGAGTATCAGTTGTTATTGAAAATTAAGAAATTGAACAGGTTGCATCTTATAAATATCGATAACAACATAAATATACTACAACATAATATATTACGATAACAAACTTACATGGGGAATTAGAGTGGATCATTTGGTTAAGATATTTTGCTTCAGGAAACTAATTCATTTGATAATAATAATATAGGCCTAATAATAATTTATTGAACTTACACTTTCTTTACAGTGGCACTCGTCAGTTGACGGTGGTGCGTTCAAAACCAACAATATTACAAGAACGATATTACATTTAAGTTAATACTAAAAAGCACAAGCACAATTCTTCACTGGTATTTGAAAGAACCCTCCTTTCCTAACTTAACTACATAATCAATACAATAACAAAAACACAGTGATAAATACAGCACTGTAAGCCAAAACATAAATACAGTAGGCATACATGCAAGATACATACATAAACACCAGTATACCGGTACACACCCATATTTTACGTTCGTAAATACACGCATAAAGGACGAAAGTTGAGAGCTATGATACACGATGTAACATCATGTCCGTTAACATAAACACTGTATTTACCTTCCTTTGATGATTTACATATAATTTAACAGTGTTGACGGCTATCTTGATTATTATTATTATTATTATTATTATTATTATTATTATTATTATTATTATTATATAGGAATATATATATATATATTATATATATATATATGAATAAATGTAGTTGGCAATACTAGCAAAATATAGTGCTCGATACACGTGGTAATGCAGAGCGTAAATATTGCTAATGCAATCTTCAGGAGTGAGATAATACAAGGATTGTGCGAGTATGTGAAACAGCATGAAACAGTCTGTAGAGTGATAATACCCAGTTCTACAAGTTCTACATTTTCAATATTTACGCTCTGCATTATCACGTGTATCGAGAACTA